AATCACTTCCAGACGACACGCTACAGAACTGCACTCTGGAATTGGCCACGTTGGGCGATCTTAAGCTGGTGGAGCGCCCGCATCCAGTGGTCCTGGCTCCGCACGACTTCTGCAACATCAAGGCCAACGTAAAGGTCTCCTCCACAGAGAACGGCATCATCTTCGGCAATATTGGTGAGTAGTCAGAAGGCATGCCTTGTTAAAATGCATGCACACAACTTATGGTGCCTTCTCCAACAGTTTACGACACCGCCCTGAACACGAATGTGGTGGTGCTCAATACCATACACATCGACATCATGGACTACATCATTCCGGCCAGCTGCACGGACACCGAGTTCCGCCAAATGTGGCAGGACTTCGAGTGGGAGAACAAGGTGACCGTCAACACCAGCTTCACCGACCTGCACGAATATCTCAAGCACCTGCTGAAGAGCACCAACATGAAGTGCCTCACGCCGGAGAAGGCGCTGTCCGGCCAATGCGGCTTCATGGCCGCCAACATGTATGCCAAGTGAGTATCAGGTTGTCCGCCCACGTGAGAGTAGCCAACATTAACTGCTCTCGCTCCGCCTCTTTGTAGGTCCATTTTCGGAGAGAACGCCTTGGCCAATCTGAGTATCGAGAAGCCTGTGGATGATCCCGATTCCAAGGTGACGGGACACATACGCATTCGCGCCAAGAGTCAGGTGAGCACCAGCGGGCACAAACCATCCGCGCAACTTTCTAATTCGTCTTTGTCTTTCGCAAACAGGGCATGGCGTTGAGTCTGGGCGACAAGATCAGCTCCTCGCAGAAGCAGTCAGTGCAGGCGGCCTAGTGGACGTGGAACTGGACGTGGACGACCAGCCACCAGCAGGAGCGACGTATCTAGATGACGTATTCGGCCTCCCGCCCACATTCCGCCAGCTGCAGCTTCTTCAATTTACATTACACGTTACAATTATGCATAAAGAATATATTATACCTTAACCCCAAGATGGGAGTCTTTTCATTTGATGGGGCTTTTCCAAAAGCTTGCCATATCTTAAATAAAGGACACATCATTTTATTTATATTTATTTATATATGAAATACCAAAATGCTGTAGTAGATCCGCATTACTCAACGGAAATCCTGGCAAACTCTGGTTAATCTTTGAGAAATGTCCAAACATTTGTAGTCTCATTGTAAAATTCGGAATATAAATGGTTAGTTGGTTGGTGTTGCTGTTGTACGAGTATCAGTGGATTTATTTTGTTTTTCATTTTGTACAATTAACGCAATGTTAAAATTGGAAAAGATAAAAGGCCTATGTAGCCCTATGTAAAAGATATTGATATACAATTGTTTTAAAATCTGAACAAACTAATTGATCAATTGATATTTTTACTTTGCTAAGGCTAAAATGATTAAATTGCTATTGAAGTAGTGCTAGGGTAGCTGAGGATTACATAAATTCGCCTTAGACCTGGAGCATGGGTCGTTTTTCCTTGGCCTGGAGGTTGTCGTTCGTCGTTGCATAGCCAGTGCCGCCCTGTAAAATGGTCGTGAAACCGTATCAATACAGGAAAGCTGCGCAAGTCAAGATGCACTTACTCGCTGCAGGGGAATGATGTCCTTCTCCTTCAGCTTGCGATCTGTGAGCGGATGGATCATGTCCTTCCTGATCAGCCGCTCCACGCACTCCATGGTCACCACATCGCCACTGTAGTGAAAAAGTAACTATAAAGTCTTTTCGAAGCGAAATTCCGGCGAGAACTCACGTGGGACGCAGCACAGCGCAGGGCACCGCATTGCTGAGTACGTCGTGGGTAATGGGGCACATGTAGCGCGCCTCCTTGGCAATTAGCGAGCGCTTCGAGTCACCGTCCCTGAGCAGCGTGAACTTGACATCGATCAGATCCTTGACACGCAGCGGTTGCTGCGACACCGGGCAGTAGATGGTGGCGTCGGGCTTCTGGGCCTTGGCCAACCCAGCATTGGGGCACTCGGAGGGCAGCCAGAAGCTGGGCAGCTTCTTCTCGTGCCCATTGGTCATGTTGGAAATCGAGGATACGGACGAGGATGCAGATGAAGCTGCAGCAGCGGCGTTTGAAGTCGATGGCTTCTCGCTGGCAACGGCGGAGGAGTGGGCGGGCGTCATCGCTGGCTTCTCGGCATTGACGAAGCGCTCCATGCGCGCCTGCTGCTTGCTGTTGGCCTCCTGGCTCAGTTGATCCTCCTCCGCGCGCCTCAGACGCTCGTACTCCTTCAGCCGGCGGCTGTACTCGTTCTTCTTGGTCACGATGTACTGCAGTATGGCCTCCTTGTCGAACAGGTAGCCATCCTTGGTGATCACCGGCCTGCGACACGGCTGCAGCGTCAGGGAGCAGCAGTCAAAGGATTTCACTGAATCCTTGCCCAGGCGCTGGGCATTTGTTCCGTAGCCGGACTCCGCCGCGTCCCGCTTCTTCTCGTTGTACGTGTATACGGCTCCGGCCGTGCAGTTTCGGGCGTGGCGCGTCATTTCAAGGTAGTTGCCTGCAGTTGGCTTTGGAAAATGTAAATAAATAGTTTAATGGTTCAAAATGGTTTATTTACTATCTGAAGTGTGACCGTGCCAGGATTGCTAGATTTTCTGAGCCAGGTTGAAAAAGCGCCGAAATCTTTGCAAGCTAGAACTCATAAAAACAACGATTTCTGAGCTGCTACATTACTGGTCCATCAGTAAGGCTACAAAACAAACATGTTTATACATTTAACTCAATGTATTATGATTAAATTAAGTGAATACTGTGTGGTGGCTGGTATTTTCAGCTTGGCTATAAACTAGCTGAAAATACGAAGCCACTGATGTGGTATATTCGGTATATTGCGCGGTATATTCTTCGTAAATAATTCCATATCCGCCGATTTCCGGGTTTTTCCTTGATTCCCCCGGATTGGATTGGCTTCGGGCGGCCGGCGATGGATTACCAGTACTTCGAGGAGGAATCGGACTACATTGATCTGGACGAGGAGGACGTCGAAGACGGTGACGAGGAGACGGCCGGCAGCTTGGACTACAGGTTTGGTCATCCGGACAGTGAGGAGGATTACTATTTCGGCGAGGATGAGGATGAGGTGGTGGTAGATGGACATGGAGTCCTGGAGCTGGCCGGACGGCTTCTCGAGAGCCTGCGGAGCTGCGTGCAGCCATCGGTGCTGCAGGTCATGCAGTATGTGGCGCCCATGCTGCTCCTCTGCCTGCTGTGCCGCCTCCTGTGCCTCCTCTACTCGCAGCGCAGACGCCTTACCAGCCTGACACCGCTGCACTTGATCCATTTCGCTTGCGGCTTGATTATTCTGCAATTCACTGTGGGCTACCGGCTGCTCCTCCTGCTACTGCTGGCCGCCGTGGGCTACCTGCTGCTCCAGCTGTTGCGTCTGGGTCGAAGAGGAGCTCAGGTTCTGGCTGTACTCACCGTGGGCAGCCAGTTCCTGTACGAACTTCTCATTTGGCGGCGGCGCAGTGACTGGCCTCAACTTCGCGGCATCCAGATGGTGGTCAATATGAAGCTCATCTCGCTGGGATTCGATCTGACCGCCAGTGGGCAGCTGCAGGCGAGGATTCCGGGTCCGTTCGCCTACCTGGGCTACATGTACAGTCCGGCCACCTGCGCCTTGGGGCCCTGGGTGAGCTTCGCCACCTACATGGACTGTCTGGTGCCAAGGAACAGCTGGATTGTCAGCCTGCGTCGTCTCTTGCCCAACGTCGTGTTCTGCGTGCTGGCCGTGACCGTGTCCAACTGCGTGGCGCCGGCGCTAAGTGACTTCTTCGGGGACAGCTCGCACTTCCTGGTCATGTACTGGGATGCACTGAGTGTGCGCACCAGCCACTACTTTGTGGGCATCATGGCGCAGGCCCTGCTGGTGGCCGCCGATCAGCGACTGGACGGTGCCACCAAGGAGTCGGATATGCTGGGTCCGCTGATCTCGCAGCCCTGGCTCATCGAGTGGCCGCGCTCGATCAGGTCACTGGTCAGGAGCTGGAACATTCCCATGCACGAGTGGCTCAAGCGGTACATCTACGCGTCCTGCAAGCCCATCTCGACCAGGTCAAGTGGACGCACCCTGCTGGCCGTGTTCTGCACCTATCTGGTGTCCAGCCTGCTGCACGGCATGGATCTGCGCATCTACTTGGTGCTTATCTCGCTGGCGCTGCTAGGCGAAGGTGAATCGCTGCTCAGGCGGCAGCTCGCAAGCCTCCTGAATGCCTGCATCACTGCCAATCTCTGTCCGGGCAAGGAACGATGTCGGTATAGCCACTGCCCCAGTAAGCGGCGGGCGAGCTCCGCCTCCTACTGGCTGGTGAGGATGACCAATCTGGCGTTCACGGCGCTGGCCATCTTCCACCTGGCCTATCTGGGCGTCGTGCTGCTGGGCGATGCCCTAGAGGTCGGCGAAGGCGGCGATTCCTTCTTGCGGCACTGGCAACAGGCTGGCTATCTCAGCCACTACATCGGCTTGGGCACCTTTGTCCTTTACCTGTTCATCTCGTAGACTCCGCAGGATCCTACCGGCCAATACTCGCTATGACTGATCTACACGTATTTATAATTGTAATCCCAACCGCATCCATTTGTACTTTTTGTATCTATTCGTATCTTGTAGTCTGTGTGCTGTGTGAGTACTTAATATTAAATTATTCTGTGCAACGGATGCCGTCGGAAGCTTCAATTCGGATTCCAGATGGGGTATGCTACTACAGTTTTGGATGTGGGTCCTTCCCAGTATCCAGCTTTCGGCTTAAGCGACAGCTGCGTATCTGGAGCAAACGCTCTTTCCCTTTTATAGCATTATTTTGATCCAATAGCACTATACTCACGAAAATGCATTCAAATTTGTTCAAATATTTTTTATTGATTTTTTAATGTATATTTTCTTTGTTGTTGGTTTGTTTTGCTTTTGTTTGTTGCTTGTTTTCGTTTGATTTCTCATTGAGACAAATATTTATAACAATATTGTAATTTCTACAGATTTTTCTTTTGCATTCCACCTGCTTTTGTATTTGCAATCCTTTTAGTTCCTGCACGCGATTTATTATGAATCCCTTTTTGTTTTGGGCTGTGGCTTATCCGTTGTGTTTCCATTTACTTTGTTGTTCCGCGCTTACGATTTAGTTATTAAAAGTACTAGCTTAAGAATTATGCAATGACAATAAAAATATTTATTTACTTTGTTGAATGCAACTTTTGTTTGCTTTACTTGCCCTTTTCAGCGTGCCCCCTCCCCTGACTTGGCCAACAAAAAAAGCTGATCTCTGAACTTGCGTTTCGTTTTTTTGTTTCGGTTTACTTTTTGTTTACTTTGCTTTCCTATTTTGCGAAAATTTGGATTCGGACATCAAAAATAGAGCGATATACATGCAAGTTGTCTTCTGGTTTCATTTCCGTTTCCGGTGCTTCGTTTTGACATTGTTTCCGTTGCGCTACGCTATATAAAAAAGTTCGGTCTCTGTCCCCCGACATCATAATTAATCGTATTATCGTATTTCTCCGTCCCTTCGTCTGTTTTCTACCATTCATAACAACAACTGAGTCGATCACAAGAGATAACGAGAGTGTTTGCTTTCTATATATGTATAAATATATATATAATGCAATACATATGTAGCTGTATCCACACGTGTGTTCCGGCCAAGATCCCTCCTTTCGATGGTTCGCCCCGATTCCAAAACTGGATTCGCGTGCTCAGTGTGGAGTTGCATATAAACCGGGCTCCTTGTGGAGTTGCGGTTCGTTTAAAATGATGTAACAAAGTGTCTTAACAATTAATTCCATGCTCAAATCCCAGATGGATTGGATGTTCGATCTAAGACTAATCTTACAGATAAAATTGGCCGGCACACACGTATGTATATATACAGACACACACATAAATCAAGTGAAACTTGCGATCCTTGAACAATTTGAATTGGGAGGCTCAGAAAACCCATTCGCCCGCTCCTTCACCCATCTATCCTTCCTGGGATGTGGTGGTTTTGGGGTTTTGGTGTTCTGGGGGTTCGGGAGTGCTGGTTGACTATATCCTGACATATTGGCTTACAACAATTCGCTAAGAAAAAACACTTTCGCTAGACACGCACGTCCTGCATCAATTACGAATTAGGTAAAACAAAATATTTAATTACAATAGGTGTAGGGTAGGTGTGCATGTGGGTGTGGTGAAAGGTCTTAGGCTACAGAAACACATGTTCGTAGGTAAACTTCAGTATCGTTAAGTTAGCGAATAAACTAAGGCGTAAACTAAATCATAAACATAATATTACATCTTTAAATTACAAACATAATTACATGGTGTGTGCGGCAGATAGACCCGACCCTCTGCCCGTCCCATCGCGCTTCGGTCCGTCCGCGTTCCAACAACAAACACGATCCCTCGACACACAGCTCATATTGTACACGCTACCCACATACGAGTATAGCATCCTATACGTAATAGAAATCATGATATGCGGCCGGCCCGCGGCGAGGATCGAACCATCATCGCTGCTGTCGGGCGTTGTCCAGAACAGAGTGAAGCGGAACCGCAGCGCAGTCGTCGCCGTAACCGTATCCGTATCCGTATCCGCAACCATAGCCGTAACGGGAGGCGGAGGCGCAGGCGGCGCCAGAGCCCCGCCCACATTCAATCGTTCTTGGTCTGACAGTAGAGCTCCTTGAGCGACTTCAGCTCCTCGATGAGCGCTTTGTTTTGGTTCTCTAGCACCGCCACTCGATTCTCCAGGCACTTGATGTACTCCTTCTTCTTGCGCCGGCACTCGCGCGCCGCCTCCCTGTTCTTCTGCAGCCGGATTTCGCGCTTACGGGTCTGGTCCTCCGCTATGCCGCTGTTGTCTGTAAAACAAGGATACAAGGATTCAAGGATTGGGCTGATCAGTGAGCTATAAACGTTGTGTGCATATCTCCCAAAGCGGAACCCTCTGTAACTCGAACTGAATTTGATCTCATTGTTTTATACTTTGCTTTCGCTAGTCGGATGATTTGGGGTTTCACTTCGATGTTAACACAAATTACATGCAAAAATGTTTAGCCATAATCATGTTCAACCAATTGATTTGAATAAAAACCGAAAATAATGCCAGTATGAATGGAGCCATTTGAATAAATTCATAGAAAATCTGAAGTATTATCAAAATGATCAATTTATATGCTGCATGCTGTAGATAGACGATGAATAAGTCCCATGAATGCGCCACGTGCCGCAGATTCATCGCCTAAATCCAGCTCGAGAACTTGAGAACTTAAAGTTGAAAGACCCCTCGATTCCAGTTCGATTTACAAGTGTCCTGCCAAGTTGGCAACTATAGCGCTACAAGCTAGTTTTGGAGCTGGGCTATTACTGGAGTTGTAGGACATCCGATTGGACAGGTAGTACGTGGTATCCAACTGCATCAGGGAGCTGTTCGCCGCATTGCCCCCCGCTCCGGTCCCCGCCAGCTGGGAATTGAGCACGCCGTCGGATATGGGAAGCGATGCGCCTGGGATGGGTTTCGATTCGAGTTGGAGTTCGATTTCGAGTTCAAGTTCGATTCCGATTCGAATTCGGTTGGGGGGTTTAGTTGTTGTTTGTTGTTGAGTTGTTGTTGTTGTTCAGGACATAATTGAATTTGATATATATATTTTTTTTTATTTTGTTGTTGTTGTGGGTTTGGTGGAGGAAGGCATTGGAAAAGAAAACAATGAAAAAAAAACAACAGTAAAAAATTATAAGAAAACATATTTTCCATTTTTCAGCTTTCAATTGGAAGTTTTGAAATTTCGGATTGATATTTTTTTTTTTGGTTTGGTTTGGTTTATGAACTTGAGTGGTGTGTGCGAGCGAGAACGGCGAGCGAGCGAGCGAGATAGGTAGATTGGTTAGTCAAAGAGTGGAGAAAAGCTTTTGATTAACGGTTAATACTATTGAATATTGGGCATGATGGGTTGTGTGTGTAACAACGGCAACAGCAGCAGCAACCACAACAACAACAACAGCGATTACAGCAACAACAACAACGACAGAGAGGCGGCGAAAGAGAGAGAGAGGGAGGGCGGGAGAGATAGAGAAAGGCGGCGAAGAAGACAGCACCAATAGTTGTAATTCTTAAATAATTGTAAAAATAAATCATTATTGTTGCTGCCTTCTCTCCCTGTCTATGCACATGGGGGTGTGTGTGTGTGTGTGTGTGCGTGTGTGAGTTGGTGCAAGAGTGCGCGAGAGTGTGTGTGCGAGTGAGAGGTTTATTTACAGGAGAGAATTGGAAAATCGTGGAATCTCTACAACGCGTCCTCTTGTCCGCCCATTCTCAGGCAAGTTTTCCGTCCTTTTGTTTATCTTTCATTATTTTCACTTTGTTAAAGCAACATCAACAACAACATCAACCAAATGATAATGGGGGCGGCGGAAAAGGGGCGGGGTTCCCTGTTGTACGGCTGCCTCAAATGACATTCCTAATGGTGTACAGAAAACATGGCGAGTAGTCCTTCACAATCTATGCGTTGTATATACAATTACAGTTGAGATCCAAACAAAAATACTCAATGTTAACAAACGGGTTTGCATTATTTCTACCTCTCTGCTCTGTTTCATAATATTATATGCAAGGCTCAACGAAAATATACTATCCTCTAATATGTTTTGAGTGCAAATGGACTAATAGGATAGTTTCAAGTAGTCATAAATAATAGTGAGCTTTGAAAATGTATATTAAATGTCTTTTTATTCAGTCTTTAATTTATTCTGGTTATTATTTTGAACTTCAATAAGTATAGATTAAAACGTTTGGGCCAGAGAATCTTATTATTGCATTGTTAGAAATGTCGCCTTATAAACAGGAACAACCTAGTGAGTGCTTTAATATATTTACAATAACGATTTCTCAAAAATCGTTAACTGATCAACTGAGCAAATTGGACTAAAAACTTCTCTGATAAAATAGTAAATGCCATTTTTCTATTGGCAAAATTCGTGGCGTTAGTATACTCTATATTCCTCGCAATTAACGATTTTGATATGGATCATTTGCTAAAGCGCACTACTACAACGAGTGTTTACAGTGTTACTTAGCCAACCGCTACTGTACAAGATGAACGGGAGATGTGATTATGGGGTTACAAACACTGGAAAATGAATGGTGTCTGATGGACGGACCGATTCTCCAGCGATATGGAAGTGCTGGGAGTGGTTGAACGATCGCCAGGCGCAAGTGCATCGTGGAATGAACGATGAGGGGCGATCAGCTTAGCGATGCGTTGGATTGTTAGGCGATATAGTGGTTTAAGGAGCGACAGAGATGTGTTCGAGTGGGTGTGTGTCTGGTGGAGAGATCGTCCCCCGGATTTACCGCTCATGTCCGGACCGCTGATCTCGGTGAAGATCTTATTGTACGACGGCCGTCGCGTCAGCTCGCTGCGGTGGTGCTGGGAATCGTCGTCCGACAGACTCTCGTCGCTGTCCTCCGGGTGCTGCGTGTTCGGTTCGGGTTTGATCTTACACGGAAAGGTTGGAGGGATCTGTGTGCGAGGGGATCGAGGGCATTAATAGAGTTCGGTTCGGCGTGTGCTCCCCGAGCTACGCACTTTGTTACGCACTTGCACTGCATTGCCAGGTGTCGTGTGGATCACCGTCGAGTTTGGCGGCTTGGCCACGTAGACCACCTTCTGCATCGCTGTGGCGGCGGCCAGCGCCTGTTGTTGCTGCTGCTGCTGGGTTCCAGCTGCTGTCTGTATGACCCCCGAGGGATTCGCCTGTATCACGGATTGCACCTGCGGGGATAGAAGGTCAGTGCATTAGAAACGCTCTTGGTCAGGGTTATTGGCCTCAATCGGACTGGCTTTGTTAGCCTTGTATTCCCTCTAAACACTGAAATGTATACTGTAATGTAACTAACAAACATCTCGTGTTGTATTAATATAATTAAAAATCCAATCAATTTGTAAGTATAGTCAATAATATTCCAACAAAATCATTATGAAATAGCCAATGTTTGGGGAAATACATTTAAAACTTTCTTTTTCTGTGTAGTTTAACTATAGAAAAGATAATACAGTATTTGCTTTATATAGTCATTGACCATTTAATGCATACATTGGTGAAAGAAATGGATTCTAAGATTCTAGAAATGGATTCATAATTCTAGAAATTATGGATGCAAAATCTATAGTGGGGCTATTTAGTTAGGATATCTGAGTTCCCATACCAAAGAAAGCTTTTAAGTGCTTCTGCACTGAAATCCTTTAAAACTACCTTTGGCTGGGATCCGTGACACCTGACACTTGACACCGGGCACCTGCTCCCCGAATGCTCACCTGCAGTCCGTGCTGCGCCAGCGCCTGGATGGGGTATTGTATGTTGCAGTTGGCGGTGGTGGTGAGCACGGAGGACGCTCCGCCTCCCTGGGCGTTGTTCGTCGCACCCGTTGGACCGCCGGCCGTTGTACTTTGTGGGTTCTGTTGCTGCTGCTGCTGGGGGTTACCGCCTCCTCCACCGCCACCGACTCCACCACCGCCGCCCCCCGCTGCCGCCGCCTGTTGGGCAACGACATCGACCACGTCATTGGAGCCCGATGCCGCCGACGAGTTGCCGTTCTCCTCGACGATGCTGTTGTCCATGTTGCCGATCCTGGCGATCTTCAGCAGCACCGAGACGCTCTCCGACAAGTGCTTCAGTTTGGCTACCGTTTCCGCTTCAATTTGGCCAGCTTGAAGACGTTTCTACAATGGGATTGAATTGGATTGGATTGGTTTGGATTACGGTGTCTGTTCTCGGTTTATCAATTTCTCATCCGGATTCTGATTCTGAATCCGTTGCTGTTTCTGTTTCTGGGCGGGATTGGCATGGGCTCGTTATTGTTTTGGGCCGATGACGAGTGTGCGTTGTGATGACGATGATTATATTGTGGCTGTGCTGCCGATTGCTGACTGATGGAACTCAAGTTCCCCCAAAGGAAAACAACAACAATAACAACGCCGAGTCGTGAGTATTTCGGTGGAATGACGTCATGACAACGTTGCGCGCGCGTGTTTGTGAGTGTGTGTGTGTGCCAAGAGGCAACAAAAAAAAACAGAAAAACACACACCACACAGCAAAAAAAAACAGTCAACTTACTTTCTGATGACATCACTAAAAACGTTGCTGCTGAGAGGCCTTTGTTGTTGTTGCCGTTGCTCGCTCTCTTTCCGCCTCTCTCTCTCTTTCTCTCACTCTTTCTTGCGCGCGTGTGTGTGTGTACGCGCGTTGCACGCTGCGCTGGCAACTTGTTGAAAAGTCGCGCTGGCCAGGCAAATATATAAATACGTGCACAGCAACAGAGCAAGGCGGAGTTCGAACCCTAAAACTTCCGATACATTTCGTATGGCATCGCGCAAAGGTTTCTTATTTGTTTCCTCTTTTTGGGAGAACCCCACAGAACACACACGCACACTGAAACACAGCAGCGAATTGGTGCGACAAGTTGGCAGCACGCACACACACAACACTCTCTCGCTCTCTCTCGTTCTCGCTCGGTCTTGCTGCCTGTTGTTATCGTTGCTTACGTTCTTTTTAGCTATTCGCAGCACTGAAACGCGTTTCTTTTGGCGGCAATGGCGCTGGTTCGGCGCGTTTCGGACGAGAATTCACGCGTTTTCTACAGCCAAAACAATCGTGCGCAACGATTTATTGATAAACACCGTTTTTGCGCAAAAATCGTTCACTTATTGCTGGCTCGCTCACCTAGTGATGTAAAAAAAACATCGATGCATCCGGCAGCGATGTTTTAGGGCGATATATTTCGATGTTTTGCTTAATATCGATGCCACATATCGGCTGTTTCATTGAAAACTGTTCAAAAAAGTGTGACTGTGGCTACGAAATGAGCAACAAGCAGCACGAAAAGGCTACCAGAATACCACACTGGTTGAAAACTTTGCTCAAAGCATGGTGCTGTGCTTGGCTAAAACAGCGGGAACTTTTCGAAATTTAATTTGTTTTTTTTTGTTTTTAAGTTTTTGTTCCTAGGTTTTATTTATTAATCTACAAGTACATCATTTTGTTTAATAATTTAAGGAACGCGTTTGCATTCACTTCCTAACTTTATTTCAAGTCTTTCAATTGCAACTGAAAATAATTTTAAGTCCGTTCGTTTAATGAATCACTTATTAAAGTGTTATTCTATTAATTCAACACTGAGAGGTGTTCAGCTGGCACCGAAAAAAAACAATTAGCAATAGCAAAATAGTTACTTTTTCAAAATAGTTTTCTATCCAAGGATTTAAGCGCGCCTAAATACTAAAAACTTTGGCTATAGAAAAACAGTTGTCGGTCTGTTTTATTTCGCTACCCCAAAAAACAGTCTGTTCACATATGTAGGTGCAAAAAACAATTAGCCTAAATGATATTCTCGGCTAATTACTTTACAGCTAAATAGTTATTGGCTGCATGAGCTGGCCATGACGTCATCGCGAGGAAACTTGGCGGCAAGCTCGAGCCGTAAAGCTGGCCTTAAAAACAGACCTCAGATTATTCGAAGCCGGCAACAGCTCCGAACAAATAGTTAATTAGCGCAATGACTGTGCCCCGTTTACTTTTCCTCTGAATTGTAATTTCCAATTCCATTTGCATTATTTAGGCTGCTTTTTCAATCGACTTCCCTTTGAGTGACATAATAATTGCCATTAATAACGACGTCGCACGAACCCCCAACCGGCCCCACCTTCTCCGCCACCCCTTTTCGGTTGTGGACCCCAAAACGCCGGACTGTCTGAACCACCGACCTCGCGGACTGACTCACTACCCAAATCCGCATTACCTCTGCGGCGGCTGACATCACTGGCTAATGAAGTTTGCCGGTGGCCGCAGAAAGGAACTGTAAATACGGCTCCTAAATTACATTCCTAATACACATATATGTATGCATAGGTATTAAGTAAGTGCGGTCAGCACAGTAGCCGTTGAGAGCCCGACCATAAATTGGCTGAAATATGCGGCTCGCGATTTGGCTGTTAAAACGGGCTTGCATACCACACAAGACCACACCGCCTACACAGAAAGAAATGAAGACTGCTCTCTATTTGTAGTCTTGCATTTACAAAGGTCAATAGTTGGTTGTTTACCATTTCGTTTTAATTAAAAATGTATCACATCAATGGGCCATTTCAACCCAAATGGAATGATTAAAATATTAATTGGAACTTCAACATCATATTGCATATCAACATCAACATATCATATCATATATGCATATGCAACATGCCTATCATATTTCAACATCAGCAACATCATTGTTGCTTATTATACGTTAAAATTTGTAGTGAATAAAATGAGTTAATGAAAATAGGGTTCTAAGTTATTTACGTTCAATAATAATAAGCAAAAAATAAATAACAAATTTCCTAACTATAAATATGTTCTTTTCTTATTAAGTTTGTCTTTGATTTTTAGTTGTTTCAAAAATTAGATATGGCAACCGCTTTTTCTTGCTCCTCAGACAAAATCACAAAATATATCAAAAAGATTTTGAAAATCCTTCCATAAATCCGTTTTAATAGAATTTCGATTCACAAAGATTTCAAATCAGACAAAGTGTAAAATGTGTAGTAGAAACATATAAATATCGCTCATACGACAAGTTGGCTGTTATACGTTCGATTTCCACACCAAAAGTGCACGAATAAAACGGGGTAATAATTGTCGAAACTATATACTATATACTTCAAAGGATTAGAGTACTCAAGCTGCGGTGTTATTTTGCTTAAAATAGTTGTTGCCTTTCGACATTAGCACAAAGCTCAACGTTGTTGCTCTTGCATTTCAATCAATTCCAATAAGTTTGCATTTTGCTTTTGGCATTCGATTTGCTCTGACCGCGCCCCGTCCGCCCTCGTTCACCTCCCCCTGTTTTTGCACTGTGTATTGGCGTACGCAAAATTGACGTCAGCATTATTTATTTTTACTCGCTTCCACTGCGCTGGTGTTTGAATCTGAATCTGAATCCGAATCTGTTCTGTGTTTGTGTTTGTGCTGGCTTGCCTTCTGCGAACGTGTCGGTGAATCTCTGCCGCCTTCGAACGCCCAACCCCCCACTTCGCCCTGCAGCACCTCTTTCATTCTAACGCTGTTTGCATGGCTGAATTAATTAAAACTTAAATAAACGTGCAATAAGAAAAAACCGAGAAAATAATAAAACGAAGAAAAGAGCCACAACAGTTATTGCTTGTCATGAACAAGCCAAGAACAAGAAGAAGCGAGCAGAAGAAAGCGAGAGAAAGAAGCGAGACAGCGCCATGGGCGACAGGTGTTGTCTGCGTGTGCGACAGAGACAGGGGGAGAATTGGGGGCATTACGCCGGGCTTATCATAGAATCCTACAATTTTGATAGGGTCCCATCTAACCAGGTCCCCTACTTCTAAGTACACCGTGAACCATCGGAGCCATGAATGCGGTACTACCTCTTATTTGGAATTTTTACTCTTACGCTCTGGCTATTACTATATACAAAACAATCCAGTGTTACTAATTTGATATTTTCCACTTTTTTAATTGTATTTCTTAACATAGCCTAGTGAATTTTTCTTACAGTGTGCGCTATCAGCTGAAATGGGTGTTTGTGTTATCATGTCGACGTATGTACTTGCCGGATAATTATGCACGACGGCCCCAACCAGTGGAGCGCTTTAAGTGTGCCAGATTAGCAGAAAGTCGTAGAAAGTGGAGGTTCAGCAAAACGCTGCGATTCGAATTTTCCGAGTGAATCCCCAATATTAGTCAGCGTTCATTTACGATTGCCTCTATATCTGAACGATATTTGTTAGCAGTGTCAAGGCAATAGGGCTGCACCGAAAGGAAGGGACACAAATCACAAAAGCGTTTATGTTGTATCTAGTACCTTACAAATCTTGAACGAAAATACAGCTGAAACAAGAAGTCCGAGTTCAAAACCAGGAACAAGAATTTGAATTCTTCACACCGAAGAAAATATATTTTTGCTGTTCAATATATATTTATATATTTTTGAACAAGTTGATTTTTTTGTATAATGCTTCACGTATGAACAATAAAACACTAATTTAAATTTTTAAGATTTTTTTTCTGTGTGCAAACGCTATGTCTATCACCCCATTGCTTTTCGTCAATATATAATTGATAAGCATAATCCGAGCCACTTTTTCCCTTTCTTTCTCTCTTTTTGTGCCTTTTGCATCACTCCTCGCTGTTATCCGCATCCATTTCAAACATGTTCTCTCCCTTTCCTTCCCTATTTCCCCCATTGAGGATCAGCACTCGAAAGTGTTTGTGCTGTTGCACTCCCACTCTCACCCCCTTTCTCTCGTTCTCCCTCTCTTTCGCTTTATCTAGCGAGTTCTTCGCATTCCCTCAGTCTACAGTGGAACTTCCATAACTAGTACATCTGACAAAAAAAAGATTTGAAAGAAAGCAACGACTTTCAATATAATTTTATTTTGTGTACATAGTTGTATAGAATACGCATGAAATGTTAATGAAATCCCATCATCCTATATATCCTATATATTTTATAGCGGTCAAAAAATTGTATGGAAAACGAATGCATAACAGATCGAGCTATTAATATGGCAATGAAATGATGAGTGGACAATTCGTGCTAGCCAGGTCTGACTGTACCTGTGTTTATCGCTTACCCGATTTGGTTGATGCGTTGTTGTTGCTGCCTGTTGACGTTTGCTGACTAATAACAATAAAATCTTTGCATAACGGCAAACATGGGCACTACACGACAAAAAAAAGTGTGAGTACAATAACTACAACACCACACGCGAGTGTGTTTTCGCTCCGTCTCTTTTCGTCGACCGTAAGCTGCAAAATTTAAGAGCCGAAAACCGACACAGAAGGAATTCAAATGGTTTTTTGTTATTGTTGCTCGTTTTCGTGATGTTTGCTTTGCATTTCAGTGATTACGTCAAGATTTTTGTTATTTTACGGATTTGTATTTGATTACACGCTCACTCACACACTCTCAATATTGTACAGAAAAGCTATAATTATAAGCACTGAAGCACTGAAAAAAAAACCTGTGCGGCTCTTTGTGGTATCTTTTCGGTTTTGGCGCTCAAAATTCGCCGATGTTAAATCGTCACCTTTGTTGTTCGTGTTGGCGCCTTTGTTTTCCCCTTTTCTCTATTTTGCCGCCACTTTGCTTGTGTGTGCTTGTGTGTTTTTGTGTATGTTTGGAAAGGCCGTCTGTTCTCTACGTAGCTCTAAAAAGCACTGATGATGACTGACTAACCAGCGGCGACGCCGGCAGAGCTGCCCCAGCTGAGCGAGCATATGATTTGGAGCTTCGCCTCTCCTCTCCTTACCCGCTCTCCTCTCATTACCTTGCCTTGCCTTGCCTCACCGCTCGCCCTCCTTTCCCTCTCACTCACGCACACAATTGTTTCGTAATTGCTGTTACTCCGTTGGAATAGCTTCTTGTGCAGCAACAACAAAGAGAGCACTGCGCCACGTCAAAGTCGACGTCGTAGATTTTACTCACCTTCACCCCACACACACGCACCGAGACACCAACACACACACCCAGTGCATGCATAAATATTTTTAAATAGCTAAGGCGAAAGCGAGATAGCTGCTGACGTTATCGCCTTAGCGCACAGTTATGGCGTAGCAGAGCTTGCTTGCCGACTCGCTTGCGCACACGCAGTGACGCCTCTGTCGCTCGCAGGCGCTACGGGTGTTGTATACTTTTTGGTGCGGGTTTCCATGACGATTCTTTTGTTAAGAGAGAGTTAAGAATGGAGAGCAGATGGTATGGAAGTAGATGATTGTGCTATCTGTTATCACCATCTTTGTCACTCGTCTGCTGCCCAGAGGAGCGGGTGTACTTCACCGTTATAACAGTATAACTGCCCTTTTTCAGCTTAATGTGTGAATCAGCATTATAAGCATTATAATTGCATGTGCATATGTAGTACTTATGTTGCTGGAATGATCATAAATAAATGAAATAAATAAATAAATAAATAAATAACTTTAATAACAGTTTGTTTCTAAATTGTAATGCATACTTCATATCATTTTACATTGTGTTCACATTTCCTGGGATAGATTTTAATTTTCTTATACTTAATCTGTAATTCCAAAAGATTTACTGCAAAACAACATTAAATCACATCATAATAAGGAGAAACCCTATCTGTGCTGCCATTCCTCTACTCCACTTTTATGCATGGGGGCGTGCAAAAAAAGCAAAAAAACAAAAAAGGAAGCATATTGGTTGTAGGGGTCAAGTCAGGGCTGCGAAGGGTTTTACCTCCGACCCGGATTCCTAACTCGCTTTTTGAGCCATCGCTGCGGGCAAACGGGGATAGCATTTCATTTTATCAACGCTGCGAATGCGTAATGTTTATCTTTCTCGCTACACATGACCCATCCCCAAGTGCCCCGCCCCCTTTGGGCAGGCTTGACGTTGCGAAAGTTTTCGTTGTCGTTTGTGGCTCACATGGCGTATGCGTTACGTGGGACCAGGCCACATCGAGTATACGCAGCGTTGCCTGCCAGTGACAGGCGAAATCCACTCATAAGCACCGCTCACCCGTCGACGCGCAGCATTTAATATGATTTGAAACTGTGATCTGCTTGTGGCATTTATTTAATAGGAATGGGGGCTGTTCGTAAGCGCGTTGGGCAAACCGCTAACCGAACCGCAAAGAAATAAAAACACCTTTACTCCATTTGCGTGATATTGGCCACCAATATTAACCCTCGGCGGCTCAGCGGGCCATTTTATATCGAAAGTTTTATTGCATTAATTATAGGTAGCGGAAAGTTTCTGCGATGAAAATGGTATAATTTAATTATAAAATTAATCAAATTGAATACATCGACATTGTTTCAAAACTGCACTCTTGCGGAGCAAATTGCATTTAAATTTAAGTGCGCCCCGCCTTTTGCGGTTCATGTTTCATCATCCAATTGAGTGAAGTTGAGTTAGACTACTGAATATGCACGCAAAATTTTGCGTAATTATTTAGGCAGCAATGAAAGTGCACAATCGCGCTCGATTTGTTTCATGCGTAATGACTAATTCACAAATTAGTTTTGCCGAAAGTTTCCATTCCTGGGTGCTAAAAATAGCGTCACCACCGTGGGGTTAAGAGCGTGGGCATCAATGACGCAGGCAACAGTCGGGAATGGGGGTGGTTGGTTGGGGCATGGGGCATGGGGCACACAAGTCGCTGTATGATACGCCAAGAAGAAAGAAAAACAAAGAAATGCGGAAAATCGAAACGTCACCGGACACAACAACGTCAAGAAGCTGAAGGCGTATTTACGGGCCAAGCCTCCGCCGATTTATTTCCCTGCCCTGCCCCTCCCCTGCCTACCCCACCACCCCCCTTGCTTGACCATTCCCATGCCACTTCCATTGCTATTTCCCGGGGGAAAGCTCAGACAAAGCGGTTTATGCGTGGTTCCATGTCCAAGCTGATTGACTGCCGATCTCTCTGTCTTTGTCCGCCTGCCTCAGTCTGTCCCGCTCTTGCCCCCTTAGTCTTCGATTCGCCGCGCAAAGAGAGAAAAAAAAAGAATACCGGAAAATAGCTCCTGACAAATACTGGAAAAATACTTCATTTGGGTACTTAAGGGCCTGAAAACAGGCTTTTGGCGCCCAGGCTAGCTTTCTCTTTGACCTACAAACATTTCTCGATAAATCCCAAACGGTTTTTGTGCCTCTTAAGAACGGATTTGGAGCAATGAAAGGACTAAATGTTGAAAATAAACAAATTTACAAATTCTATTTAATAGAATAATGCGTGAAATGTAATAAATGCATACATTTAAAGTAAAGTGTTCAAGCTGTTGAAAAGTATGCGCAAATTAAAAGCATATGCAAATTTGAGGTAAAATTTGATTAGGATTCCACTCTTGTTGCATACTTCTGCTTTTGTTGCATACTTCTGCTTTTGTTGCATACTTCTATATTTGCTGCATACCTTTGGCTTTTGTTTTTTTGTAAATCGGTTTTATACTGCCCAGACTCCATTGTCGGATGCAACTTCTGGGCTGGCTAGCGAGCATTAAAGTTGGATCTTTTAATGTAACCAAATCACGGCATAAGCCGCTGTGCGCTCCGCCCAACCGCTTAGATAAACACGCCCACCCAGACGCCCACACACACACGCGAACACACAGATACACGTAAGCACACGCGTAAGTTGTGCAAAAATTGAGTTGACGCCCGGCACGCAAACTTAAGCTGTCATCCGCATGCCTGGAAAAGCGACGCAAAAGAGACGGAAAAGCGATGGAAAAACGCGTGGCGAACACACATGCAATGGGTGGGATGGCTCGCTGATGGGTTTCCGTGAGGTTGGCTGGTGTCATGTTTACGCTGCGTTGCCACGCGACAACTTGTTGCACGTCCTCAACCTCAACACCACAACCACCCTCCGACTCGTCCGCGTCCGATCCTTGGAGCGGCAGAAGGAAACATCAGCGAAGTGCGCAAAAGTGGGGGAAAATAGAAATGGGAAGGCAACTTTCAGCGCTGAATCCGCTCGTTACTCTAAATACTATCAAAAGCCCACTCAAATAGAAATATGAATATTCGAAAAAAAGGCAAAATAATACCGAACATATCGAAAGATTGTCTACATGTTGCTACATTTTCTGTTTAATCTGATAAGCCATTGTTTGTGACATAAAACCAAGATTTTCGTTATTATTAGCATGAAATTTATTGTGCAAACGAGCAACGCTTTTCTGCGAAAAAAATCTTAAGGGATTTGCAAGCCACTTACGAATTATGTGTTTAAGTACACACTAATTGGTACTTTCAAAACGAATGAAAAACCTCTTCAGTTCAGACTGAAGGGTTATGTCAATTAATTGAATTGAAAAAAATAGGAAAAAAACTAAAGCCAACAAAATGAGTTACTGTTTAAAGATGAGGTGTAAGAAGGGCTAATTTTTGGAAGCATTTGCTGGAAAAAAATAACTATACCCATGGGTAAGTGTATCGCTAAGAAGGCAAGTTGACTACGGAATATCAACGAGCAAGGGCCAAACTCCTAATGATTTTAATTAACAAAGTTTGCCCCCGATCCAGCTCAGTCCACCCCAGTCCACCCCAGTTCACCTAAGTCCATTTGACGTCCAACGTGCTGCCGTCCCATCCCTCACATGCTCACGAACTTGACCAGTTTTCGGCTGCTCCTCCGGAGTAGCACCTTGCCCAGCGGCTGGCCGAAGCCCTCGAACTGCTGGTATACATGCAGGCCCCGCACCACCGTGGCATGCACCACGCCGCGCAACCTTTGACCCGCGTACGGGGTGGCCTTCGTGGCCGTGTGGAGCAGCTCCGGACCCACGCTGAACTCCTCCTCGGGACTCCACACACAGAAGTCCGCATCGTAGCCCTCGGCAATGCGGCCCTTCGAGGCGGACAAGCCGCACAGGTTCGCCGGCTCCTGGCACATCAGACGATGGATGTCCGCGATGGTCAAGTTGCATCCTGGAGATGGACAGAGGTGAGTTCGGAGATGAGAAAACTGTGTGAAATTCGAGGCTGTACTAAGTCAACTATTTAGAAACTACTTCGCAAATGCTATATTTGAATTGTATTCGAAACTGGCTGGTTAAGCTGAATATTGCAATTTAATAGGTGACAACTCCCAATTAATACGAGTACGAGTATATGGCAGTGAATGAAATGTAAAACAGAAAAAAGTTTTAATTATGTCGGAACTTTGTGGTTTCGAGTTTTATTTTGAATGGGGATAAGCTAATGATAATTAGTTTGTTTGTTGACAAAGCCCAATTAAAATATATTTAATTAAAAACGTTGTCTGTCGGAAATTGCTATTATTTGAAATGCTTATCTGAGTTTTTAGTACAGTTTCTCTAGCCCAAAACGGAACTATTTTGCTATTTATAACAATGAAAAGTTCTACAAATAATGCAAACTCTGGCATAACCTTTTCCAAATACGGAATTTAAAACACACACCCCCCCAAAGGCATATTTCGTGATAAACAAGTTATAATTGCGTAACAACTTTCACGCTTTCCGGTGATACTCAAGCATTGAAATTAATTTGCGACCAGCGCCAATCAAAATGTGCACTCATAAATGTGCCCTTGCATTCACATAAAATGGAGCAGAGCTTCCTGGAAGCCAGCACGAGTCCTCATGTGCAGTGAGTTCTCGGAAATTGAGCAAAGTTTCTGCACATGCGGCGTATGCTTGATATTTGCCATTCAATCCCCTTCAGTTAGCACTAATGCGATTTGCTGTCCCATTCCATGCTTACCCCTCCGTTTCCCCGCCGTCCACACGACCGGCAAGCTGAGTTGCAGCGAGTTGATGCCCGGCCACGCCTTCAGGAAGTTGCCACGCCCCCTGCCACAGGTAAGGGCGCGTGCGCCCGGCGTCGCCGGCGAGTGATCGCTGCCAATCATCCGGATGGCTCCGCCCAGCCGTATAGCCTGCCACAACCGCTCCTGATTGCGGCGCTCCCGAATCGGTGGCCAGGTCTTGTACTCCGTGCCGCAATTGGGCACATCCTCGGCCGCCAGGGCCAGGTAATGCGGACAGGTGTCCACCGTTAGATTCCCGCCCTGCCGGCGACACTCCTCCACCAGCGGCAGACTTTCGCCGCTGCTGCAGTTCAGGATGTGTATGCAGCGCCGCGGGTGACGACCCGCCAGTCGGCAGAGCAGCTGCGTCGCCGAAATCTCCATTTGGGCTGGACGGGTCACCAGGAATGTGCCGTACTCCCGGGGCGCCTCTTCGTCGGGCTGGATTTCGGTGGTCAGCGGCAGTTCGGCGTGCACCTGTCGGAATGGGAAATGCAGGTACTCAATTAAGTCATATCTTTGGGCTCCAAAATGAGGGCAATGCAAGTTATCTATAGCCCGCACAGTTGGCCATTAGTGGAAACCCATGGAAAATTTCACTTTCAAATTATGTACACATCCACCTTAGAAATCGGTTTGGTGATGCAAAATTAACTGGCATTCAACTTGAAAGTTTATCTATTAAAGCTAAATTAAATTATTAAGTAAAAGGGTAGGGTGAAGCAGAAAAGCCTTATTGGAATCCACCTGTACATATATCAGCATTGTAAACAAGTGAAAGCCTAAGGCACTTAAAAAGATACTGCACTTGGAAACTATGTGAAAATCGAAACATGTCCACATTTAATACATGGAATGCGCTGAATAGCAGCTTTTGCCGACTTACCGCTATTAGAGCATCACCTTCAGCCTGATCCTTGTCCAACTGGGAAAGAGCCTCCTCCAGCTGAGCCTCGTTAACGGCGGGAAATTCCTGGGAGACGGGCGCCGCTGGATCGCACAGTGTGCACTGCAGACCCATGACACCGGCACTCAAAAGGGGAGCCAGCTGAGCCCCGTTTCCGGGCACCAGACCACCCCAAAAGCCCACGTCCACATAGATCTTTCCGCGGGCCGTCGATGTCTTGGCCTTGAGATGGGCCACACTAACGGTGGGTGGTTGGGCGTTGGTGGGTCGGTCGATGATTGTGGTGAAGCCACCAGCTGCCGCCGCCTTGGTGGCACTTGTAAATCCCTCCCAGTCCCTGCGACCCGGCTCGTTGATATGGACATTGGCATCAATCAGACCCGGCATCAGTACCAGGTCCCCAAAATCGTATACCGATTCGGATTCTGTGTTGTACAAATAGGTGTTGACCTCCTGCGGTGAACGCAGCACTAAGTATGGGGTGTTCTAGGCGTTATAAGGGCTTAAATGGGGTAGTCTGTAACGGGTAAGCTTACCTCTTCGTATAATGCCCTCGGTGTCCACGACAATGCCGCCATGGATCAGGTCGTTTTGGGTGCCATCGCCCGTAAAAATTCGCCGGCTGAGAAACAACAGATTCATTCTAATAGCAGCTGACTACTGAGCGAGTTTCTTCTACTTTAGCTGTCTACTCTACATATTCATCTATTTTCGGAGATCATGGGAGAGCTTTCGGCTGAAGAGAGCAATTCTTCTATGCACACCCTGTCCCTCTTTGCGCAGTTGGTTATTGGACACACATTGGACTGAGTTGGACTGTTGCACTGAAAAGAAAAATATTTACGGAGCACACTTTCAGAATTTGTTAAGGATCTACTTTCGCAAAATTGGGACTTTCAATCTGTGGAAAAGTCGACCGTCTACCGTTGAGTAATTGAATTCGGGATATAACTTTTCGGCAGCTCACCTTCTAGTTGCCCCCCGCTTTTTGGCTTATTAAAAACTAGAGAAGAAAAAGAAAAACGGAAAAACTTTGTTGACCCACAGCGGAAAAGGCAAAAATCTGCTTAATGAAAATCTAAGGCCACCCACCCACCGTTTCATTTCTTTTGATGTGTGCGTGTGTGTGTGTGCATGAGTGTGCGTGTGTTTCTGGTACGTGTGCCGAACTTTATTAAAGTGCTGTGCGCAACTTTTGAACGTTTTGTGTGTATTTTTTTTAACTTGTCGGATTTATTTTGTGTTTGTTTAATTTGTGCAAAATATTTTAATTGGTGGCGCCACCCAGTGGGAGCTTAGCAAACCGAAGGGAGGCGTACGGCCAGCAAAGGCGACAGTAAAAACAACGGTAAAAGCATCGGCAAAGCAAGCAAAACAGCAAGACAAAAGGCGCAACCGAATGCGAAAACGAACAAGCAGACGAAAATGAAACCGAATCCAATAACGGAAGCAGCGAGACGCATACATACACGCCAAACTGACTCCGATGGCGTGTCTGTGTTCGTGCGTGCGTACCAGTGCGTGCGCGTCTGTGTGCTTGCTGGTGAGTGCGTGCGTGTAGGAGTAAGAGTAAGAGGGAGAGCGAGAGGGAGATGGAGCGGGCGCGAACGAGCGAGCGGAAAGACAAATGCAGCGGACGGAGCCGAGTGCCGAAATAAAAAGAGCTCCACTTGTTGTTGCTGCTGCATGGAGAGAAAATCGTGTGTAATTGAATGAACCATTTGAAGTAGAGTTTATTAGATTACTGTCTGATTTGTACTGTCCGTTTAATTTGGATGCTAAGATATGGTAATCACGTTCCACATTCACACAAAGGGTTGCAAATTGTGCTTTTGTCATGGGGTTTCGTGTCGAAAACAATGGGGTTGTATTGAAAAACAATATTCAGCTTTTTTTCGATAAGTAATTATATAGTATTTCTTCTTGTAAATGTATTAATATTGCATTCCTGGCAAATTCCTCATAGTTTTTTTATTTAAAAAATTATGATATTTCGCGGTTAGTTGGATGGTATCAAATTTAAACAGTATTTTTGTGTATTTCTTTTTGTTATACTTAAATTGATGATTAAGTCATCCAGAATTATAATAATGCATTTAATCTCATTATAATACATTTTAAACAAATTCGAATTTTTTCTATAAATTGGCATTGACTTCCAAAAAAGGACCCTTATTTAAATGAAAGGAATAAAAAGGCTTCATCACAAAAGAATCCAGAGGATGTGGACATTAAATAAACATTCTATATTCTACATTATATTTTTTCCAGTATGCCTATGCACTATAAATACTCGTTTTTAAATAAAGAAGGAGACTTTTATGTAAAGACACTACAAAATTGCTTATATATGCGATATTTTTTTGAAACTTTCACTGGTTTCTTGCAGTGCACCTGGCCGGACGCTGTTGCTGCTGCTGCTGCTGCGTCTGCCGCTGCTGGCAGATACACACGCACACTTAACACGCACACAACCGAAGCGATGATGAGGCTGCACCACCCCTCCTCCCCTCCGCCGGCCGCTCCTGCAGCGTGCTGCCGAAGCTTGGCGGCAGGGACTCGGGTCCTCGGGTGCTCGGTTGCTGGTTGCTCGGGTCCCGTCGGCTGCTGTCTGTTGCTGTCGCTCGGCTCGCGGGACTCGCGTTCATTCTCGTGCTCATCGTCGTCGCTGCTGGCCGCACACAACCTCGGATCGAATCGAGTCGAGTCCTCAGCCTCTGCCAGCCACTCTGCGAGTCACTGCGCTTTGGGCAGCAACGCGACAACAAGTTGAACTCGGCTCGAGCGGAGCTACCAACGACCATCACCATCAACTGGCCAAAAGCACCTGGCGCTAATCCGTCGCTATAAACACGACAGTCGAACGCACACATAACCAATTCCAGATGCGATCAATTCGAATTGTGTGAATTTCCAGCATTAATGGTAAATCGAAAGTGAACAGACTGACCCCACATCGACCCCCATTGGGCCCCCCCCCCCACCTTTTGGGAAATTTGTTTTTTTTTTGTTTTTGTACGGTTCATTGAAAACTCCATGAAAGTGAGCACAAAATGTTGTAAAAAGTTGTTGCCAATTTTATATTTTTAATGGTGACGAAAGCGCTTAAAAATCGTGTTAGAGTAGCCCGCTTAACCGGGTTTTTCGATTTTATTTATTTATTTTTTTCTTTAGGCTGTCTGCGCCCCCCATTCGAAAAAGGCAGCGAAAAACGAGAAAACAAAGTGCTGGAAAATCATAAATTCGATTGGCGATTGGGGCGGCGAACGTGCGGGGGAATTTGTCATTTTTTATGACCGATGGCTGGATGCATCGGCATTCATGGGCTGTTAACTGAAAAGAATATAAGCCCCCAGCGACCGGATCCTGATTGATGCCATTGTTGGGCAATGGGGCGATAATCGAGTTGGGGCATCTTAATGTCAGTCCGCCTTTTGATACTCCCCCACTGTATAGTAAGTGGGCTTGCAGCCAATGCAGATGATTGGGTTGAAATTGTTAGTTTCAAATTGGTAAGCCGCAAAATGTACTGCTGGAATAGCAGACAAAAACATGTGGCAATGAAAATAGTTTCTAAAACTGCCAACCAACATCTTAGCAAGTTGGCAATGTTGTGTAAGCTTGTTGTGCAAGCTTGAAGTTTCAAATGAAAGTACAAACAATAAATAGGAAAACGCAGCCACCATCCATGCGACTTTTCCCATTCGATTCGCCGGATTTAATTGCCTCTGAAACCAATTTTTTTTTTATCTTTTTTTTCCGGTGCCAGCAATCGAACGCAAAGCAAAGCGGAGCAAAAATAAATAAATAAAACGTAAAACTCAGCGGAAAGTAATAAAATAAGAGCGGACACGTCCCACGAAAACCCGGAGAGGGAAGCCAAAGTGTCAAGTAAGCAAACATTTAATTTTGATTTATTATTAATTTCCACACGCCCACACGAGCAACAGATAGCGCGATCCTGGGCGCGATTCTGGGCGCGATTCTGGGCGCGATTCTGGGTGCGATTCTGGGTGGTTGGATGGGTGGCATGGGGCCCACCCACTTGACGGCTTAATGCTGGTTATTATTTTCACCGTTGGCCGTTGCCACCTGCAGCTATCAAATGAATAATGCAAAAGAGGAAAAGCTGAGACAGGAAACAAAAAAAAAAAATAATAAGAAAAAGGCGGCCCACCGCGGGCCAAAGAAAAGCCAAACGAGCGGGCAAATTATTGTAATTACTATTTTCCATTAGCAGCGAATTTTCGGCATTTTTCTTATTCCACTCCCACTGCCCGACAACCAAAAGAAAAAAGCCCCTAAAAAAGGTATAAAAAACCAAAAAAAAAAGAAAAAGGTAAAAGGACAAAGACAAAGACAAAAACGACGAAATGCCAAAATGAAAACAAAAGTGGCGCAAAGTTGTGAAATACGTGCGTTTATTTGCGTAAAAAATTGCACTGTTTTTTCTGCCGCTTTCCCTTTCCGATTTTCATCAGGCACCAAATTTTCACTAAAAGGCATTCTGTACTGGGGATTTAGTTGCCAAAGGATAATGGCAGTGCTGCTGGAGCTGGAACTGGGACTCCAGCTCAAAATACTCCCATTCAGCTCCATCTATCGCGCAGGCCGCTTGTGTGAGGCTTAAATTGGGTTTCTAGAAAAAGTTTTAATCCAGCTTTCGTACTGCCGCTGCTGCTCCTTCTCTGTAGCGTTTTCTGGGTCGCTTGGCACTTTAATCCAAAACACCGATGCACTCGTACATCCAATGAACGCACGCAAATGCACAGGGAAGATTACAAGCTGCTTTTTTTGGAGGCGCCTGCTAAAAATACACACGTAAAATACCTGAAAAACAGTCCAGTGGAATTGTTAGGCGCCCCCAAAATGGTTCCTTAAGGTGTGATTAAATGATTCGAAGTTACTCAACCTTCCTTTGAATAGGTGTCTAAAAGCATGCTTTATATCGTGAAATATGCCATCTATTACAGCATATTTTTGTGGAAACCTATTGTTGGTTTTCTATGGCTTACCCCCTGAGTTTTGTGAGCCACCAAGATAGTTTGAAATCGAATACACCACTTAAAGACGTGCGGATTGCCAAAGTTTCGCAAAGTTTTGGTTCTTGTGGTCAATTCAGTTTAGGCTTAGCAGGTCAACTAGGGTGTCGTGGGGTCGCATCTTCATCGTGTTCTGGCGGAGTTTTGCGACTTTCGTTTTTTTTTATTTTTCCGGCAGTCTTTGGGGCTATTGCTTTTCAGCTTTCTTTGGGCCGCTCGAATTGTTGCTTTGTTTTATGTTTATTTTTATTTGACCGTTTGCCTTTGTTGCTCCGCTCCGCTCCGCGCGGCTCCTTTCATTTAATGATGTTCGCTTGAGCCCAAGGCTTTAATTGTATTGATTAAATGCTTAATTGTGTTGCCAGGCAATGTCCTAGACAATGGCAAAGTCAAGCCGGGGCTCAAGTCCTAAGACATTGGCATAAAAAAGGGGATATACTCGTACATATACGTATATAGCCAAAGAATCGTCTGGAAAAAGACGGTGAGGAGCGGTGAAAAAAAGGAAGCACTTAATTGTTATTAACAAGCGCACATTAATTACAATGATTAAAAGCGAACTGAGCATCCCTTTGGCACGCCGTCTTTGGCATTCACTATAATTAGTTGGCCAAGACGCTCAGCTGTTTAATTCAAACTAATAGAGTTCCTAGTCGTCTCCTCGCCACTGCATTCTAATGGCATCCCATGGCATCCCATTCAATCCAATCCAAGCTGAGGCCAATCCGAACGTGAAACAATTAACGTGCTGGACCAACAAGGACGCTGCCCAGATGACAATGACAATGCCAATCCAAGAACAATGCCAAGGCGACAGCAGTAAGCACAGCAACATCGCACCACCGACGGATGGCACCACCAACAACATCAGCACCAAAAGCAACTAATGCAAACAATGCCAAACAGGGCCAAACAATGCCAAACAACAACTGGCCAAACAGCAACCGAAGTGAAAACGAAGGCTAACGATTCCAAAGGCCGGGAACCAATGCCTCCAATACCCTTGAGGGCGCAAAAATCCCATAAAATATATATTTCGGCTAACTACTATAAACTTGGGCATCTATTAGGCAAATGAAATAAGTGGAGGATGACACAAACGTCTCCGGAGGCTTGAAAACCTCTCAAAAGGGGTCTGATCGTATGATAATTTGACATTTGCAGAATATATTGTAGCATACTTTTTGTAGCCACTTTAGATGCTTACAACTAAGTGCGCTAAGCTATTCCAAAAGCAGGTGAGATTAGCCCCTAAAGATGTGGTAAATCAATGAAACAGCTGTCCAGGAGTATGCTTTCTTAAGCTTTCTGCAGGATCCCCTTAAGCGGATTCAAATCTATTCAATCTCTTTGACTCAATTAGCTGGCAAGCGTTGCGCTGCAGCTGTCATACCCTTTCCAGGGTAGCAAGCCAAGGCATGGCACGGCATAAACAGATGCGTTCTGCTGGCCGAGTTGTAGTCGCACCAAGATTTGCCGACAGATAGATATTTATGGACTGCCACAGCTTGGCAACCACAATCCCCAGTCCTGGCGACACCACCACCACCACCACCACCACCACCTCCACCTCCACCTCCACTTCCTTCTCCATGACTGGGACTGGGTGAGTGTCTGTCGGTGGTCTGTGTAGTTGGACAAGGTGTCTGGCTGAAGCTGGCCAGGGGATTCTGTCGCCGCCTCGGTTGTCCGTCTGCCACTGAGCGCCTTAGCTGTGTTAGTTGACGTCTTTTGGCTATAACGTAATTAGGCTTTAACTTTGGGGGCCGAGCGCATTAGCGTTAGGTACATTTAGGATGGCGGCCAAATGGAAATGGTGCTTTCCCATTGCGTCGGGCTCTGTGGGTTGGATTTGGTTCGGTAATTGTCATGTCATGCGGATGTACGCGTGATGATGAAAAATAACGCTCATAGCATTTGCAAATGAGTTGCTTTAACACAAACATCCAGATGCGACAAATGATATTGTTATGGCATTTGGTGCGCTTCGCTGCTGGCTTTTCTTTTTTCTTTTTGGCCATGTGGTAAAAAAGATTCATAATGCACAGGGCAACAATCAGAGGGACAGTTGAATTAATTTGTTTAGGGATGTGGGGGATGGCTAATTAGGGTGTCTAAAGGCATGCCTCTATACAATACGTTCTAAATCTGAACAGCCAGCTCCTTCTTATTCGCAATTTAAGCGGATTGAAGTCAGCTAAGATGCCCGTTTAAAGAATTCCTGTGCATTTTTCCACACATTTCTATAACTTCGGGGGCAGAGACTAAAAGGAGCGCCCATTAGCAACTGCTTGAGCACGTTTCGTACCATTTGGCGTTGCCTTTATTCCCATCGATAGCCATGGGAACGCATTGCAAGGAGATGCCCACGTAAGTCGGTCCATAATCGGGAATGTTGACAGGACCTTTGAACACTTTTGACGTACTGCTGAATGGAAGGAAGGGAAGGGAAGGGAATGTAATGAGAAGGTAGGTGCCAGGACATCATCGACATTGAAATGAGCAGGAACATCGAAAGCAGGAGCCCGAAAGTGAAACATGGTGCGTTTGCCGCAATGCACAAAGCTGCCGCAAAATCTCATTACGTAACGTATAACGTGACGGGCGACGATGGCCCAGCTACGTGTTTCCAGTTCCGGCCACCGCCCCCCTGGGGGCGCCACTGCTCAGCCCTGCAACCCTGCAACCCTCTGCAGCATCCACCTCATGCGTGTACAGATAGCTGAGCTCATCAAAATTTGTAGCCAAGAGTTGTCTCCCGCTTTTTCGTGTGTTTTCTTTCGCTTTTTTTTTTTTTCGTTTTTTTTCTTGCAACATCCACCAAAAGCCAATAAGCTCATATTAATGTTGCCAGCGGCGGCCCTTGGAGGGGGATATCTTTGTCTACCCGCGGAGTCAAGCGACATTTGTTAAATTCCATGCAATTTCCTGCGCCAACCCCGCTGCCAGTCCCAATCCCAGTCCCAATCCCAATCCCATTCCCAATCCACTGCCAACTTCCTTTGGCTTTGTGTTTGGGCTATTAACTGCGCTCGCATCAAATTGAAAGCCATAAAAGGGGTGGGCGGCAGAGGGGGCGCGCTCGCAGACATTATTAATATGTTGCAATTATTTGTGTGCAGGCGAGGGGCAAGGGGAGGACTATGGCTGGTGGGCGTAAAAGGGCTTGGCAGGTGGCGCATAAAAATTGCACATAAATGTTGAAATGCGTATAATGCGGCAGACAGGGAGTTGGGGGCGGATGGATAGAGGAGTGCCGGGAAAGCGCCTCCAACAGACGGAAAATGTTGTACAAAATGGATTTTCGTTTCTATCGTGCGAAACGTACATTGACTTCGGGTCAAATTGTTATGTGCTTGTGGTTCACTGAATCCGTATTACATTATATTATTTAAAAGCGTGAGAGCTCTTCAAGCTAACACTCACATTCTCCGAGTTATGCACTTGGTATTTAACCAGTGTTGCTCATATATATGGCAAGCAAAGTGGATGGCAACACTGCGTATTATTTATATGTTCGTTAACCTTTTTGTTAATACGCATACGCTTGGAAAATCGCACAGCCTAGCGAGACGTTTTTATTAAATGAATCATTTAAAGTACAATATTTTCTGCGATAACCCACGATGCCACTAGACGATGTGCTGCCGCATTAAAAGAAATCACGTTAAGCGAAGGTTACACACGCATGGACATTAGCACACAGTTGGCAGCCATCGAGCCGCCTCCCATGTCCCACATGTCCCCCATTTCCCCCATTTCCCACATTTCCCCCATTTCCCCCGTTTCCACCATTTACCAGACCCACCCATACATTGCCATCTCCGACCCTCATTTCCATTCCATTCC